TAAATGAGATGGTAATTTTATCCATGCGAATTAAGTCGTTGTGGAACTCGCATTGTAAGCGCATGTTTTTAACGCGTATTTTAAAAATTTAGAATTGTTTAGATAGTTTAGGTTTAGGTTTTTTTTAGGTTCAGCGTAACTGTAATTTATGGCTTTATTTGTGTTTTTAAGTAAAATAAATGCATTAAAATTCATGTAATTTTACAGTCGTAATTATTACCAAGATTAAGCTTTACTAACAGGAACAAAATGTTCTGAAATTCAAACGTACACCGAATTATGAAAATTGCGTAATTCCTCCAGATATATTATAGTATCAATTTCGGTAGTAAAATCTTGCCCAAATTTTGATTATTATCTGTAGAAATTAATGAAGTATCTGTGAAGACCAAATTTAACTAATTATTCCCTATTATTTACCCATTTATTTACCTGAGCTAGCTGGAAGTTTAAAAGTATAATTAAGGTAAGTTCCGAAATACACCGACATCGACGCTGAGAAACAAAGCAGAAGAAGAATATACACGGCAAATCATCGATAGTTTGTAACTGTCCGTTACATTTGTCTTGGGTAGCGTCGCGATCAGTGGATTGGACTACTAGTTCAAAAGTTACAGCCCTTTGAATTTTCTTTCGAAATTGGTTTCTAAGTAGTCTATAACTTTTGATTGAGAAGTCTGATCGAAAAAGTACGAATTGTTTTGGATTCTACGCACCAAAATTAATAGAAAAAGTGTTTTCCCGAGAAATTTTGGTGCAGTCGATTTTTGGTAAAAAAGGAAGGTTGTACACTGCCTTTTTTTTGAGGCTTTTTTAGTGCTATGTAACATAATCTATTGGTCCAAGGTACCCAATAGTGAATAAACTATAATCTGTAAATTTAAGAAGATCGCAACATGTTAAGGAACCAAAAATTTGGAATTGTATCAAAATATTATTGCATTCACGTTGCAGTAAATAGTAGATTGAAAGTGAACAAATCAAATCTGTACCTATGCGAAGGCCGGAAACAGTGTGAAATACGTTGATATGTAGAAGAACATTTCAATCCATTACAAAAAGTGATAACGACTAACACACAATTCTTGGTAAATATGACATTCAACAAAACAGTCAGCTAATTTGAAATCGTACAATTTTATTCAGCCTTTATATTTGGAGTCAGAATATACAATAGAGATTATAATCATGCCTTAATACCCTAAATAGTTATTAAAAATATCTTTTTTTACATATTCACACTATTTAAATTCGTACATTCAGGAGACGATACTAATCAAAATTTCACAATAAAATATAAGCAAATTGGTACATTATCAGCTAAAACAGTTTTTGGCACATTACGAAACAGGTATAATGTTTTATACAATCAAAATATATAGATCAATAAATTGAGCAACATATGTAAACATAAATCGTGCAAATAACAAAAGTGCTATCGATTTTGGCATCCTGAAATCACACACTGTTATTTTCTTATAATTGTTTGAGCTTCTATTATTTACAAAGTACATAGTAGAGTAATAAATACTAAAAATGGACAGAAGCATAAAATTCTCTTAAGTATCACACATCTTGTAATAGGATATCTTTGAAACCAAATTGAGCATAAGCTCATCATGTTTACAGTTCGAGGTGCTTTAAGAACAAGAGGACCTTCAAAGGCACCAAGTCAATCTCTTTCGCAACTGTTCAAAAACATAGCCAAATTTGCCATATTGTCACAGTCTGTTTGAGCTCATCATCAGATGAAAAAAATAAATGCCTACTATATTAATGAAATATTGCTTAATGATATTTCTGTTGTTCCAAAATGACCGAATTTCATTTTTTTGGCACTGTTGCAAATGAATTGTTAAACCTATTCAATTGGAGCAAGTATTCATCATAACTGTTGACCTTCGACTATACCCCCTTCTCGTAACAGTAGTTCCTTGCGCCTCACACTCTTTTCTCACCCTGTCAATAATATCAGCGACTAACTTCTCCTCCTTCACCCTTTGCTCTTCCCAGTCAGCAGATTTAATCTCCTTTTTCCTGTGAACTTTAGGACTTTCAATGGTTTCGACAATCTCCTCCTTTATACTAATATTAAGCTCCTCCTGCTGTTCAATGTTCTCTGAGTGCCTCGTCGATATGTGTCCCATGTACCCCTTTCGACTTTTAAAAAATACGTTACAATGTGTACACTTAAATAATGGAGCTGGATTGATCATACTATTAACGTGTAATTTATACTTGTGTCTGTACCAATGTGTTCTACTCGCCAACACCTCACCGCACAGCTTACACACGACACTACCATCTGGACGCGTCAGGTACTCCAACAGTTCGCTCTTCTTCCTCTCGTAATTTTCCCCATTATCAGTCGTTATCATTAAACTGTTATCGCTATCGGTAAGGAAGTGCACACCGGCCGCCGCTTCCAAATCCGCATCTTCGCTCACGTCGTTAATGTCGCAAATATTCTCTTCAATAACACATCTGGCCGATTCCGTCGAAATTATTACGGTGTCTTGGTGTTTCGGGGGACAGGTTATTAATTCGACAGTCACTGATTCGGGCATGTTAGAATGGTTTTGGTTGTTTTCGTAATATTGTTCATCTGTAAATAGGGTTTACATTAGCCAAAGAGACATTATATTGGCCCACTCAGTAGGTATTGCAGAACTGTAATAATGTATCTATGGTGGGCAGTGAAATACTTTCTAAAAGTACGATTGCATATGAATAATTTAACTCTGAAAGTTCACGAATGATGATTATATTTTATTCATTACTCCAATCGACATTATTTTTTAGGTAATAATCGATTGTAAGTACGCTGACGACATGTGCAATCATCTTGGTGTTTCGTTTGGGTGCAGAAATCACGCATCTCATTTTCAATAATTTACCAATCTTAGAAGAGCTGTAGATATCTCAGAAACCAAAATTGGTATAAAGGTGGTTTTCAGCTCAAAATGTCGCAAATTAATTCCACTGTGAAACAAGCATAGGTTTTGGTCAATTATCAAAAAAAGTGAAAAAATTGCTACATCTTTGCTAGATTTTTAAGTTTGAGAAGAACGGCGAATTTATTAGACAAGTCAATCAGAATAAACAAGTACATTCAGTCTATTGTCCAATATGATGTTACAGTTGCCAGATTAGCATAAAATATCAACCTACCATGATGAAAAACGGTCAATCGTATATTTACATGAAACCTATTCAAACCATACTTTACCTATTCTTCTTCGTCAGACGGAACTTCGGCGGGATTACATCAACCAATAGAGGATGGTCCACATTTAGTTATTTTGGATTTGTACTAAATGCGTTATTAATTTTTAAACCCGGAAGCAAAACGGGTGCGACTACCGCGATGACATGAATGGAAATAATTTCATGAAATCGCTGGAAGAAAAATGTATCCCAAATCTGTCATAATACACCCTTTAGCAAAGAACATCGTACTGTCAAATAAAAAAGAAATGCAACGATGGTTGGATGACAAACATATTCCCTATACGAAAAAGATGACCAAACTGGAGTTGTATGAAGTAATAAGAAGATACAGATCTCAGTCTGATACAAAAAATATACCTACCTACTGTTGATTCTGTATTGACAGCCCATGGACATTCGGTTTTGCGACCTCCGCCATTACATCCAGAATTGAATCCCGTTGAAAAAAGCTTATATTAAACACTGGGTTACTTCATGTAACACTACACTCAAGCTGAGAAACAAAATTTGCCCACCATTGTTCAATCGTCACAAAATTAGCATGCAAACATTCAAAAAGTGGAATCCCAGTTTATGGAATCAGAATATGTTCTTGATATTTGCGTAAATGATCTAATTATTGATTTAGGCGAAGACGACTCTCATAAAAGCGATTTTTGTTTTAGTGATGATCAGTGATGACATTAATAAACAGTCAATATCAGATTGGGAAATGGTCCATATTCACCATTATGTAATAATAATTTAAGAGTATAGGTAGGTGTTATTGATTTTCATATGTAAAATAAACTCGGGCTACTTTAATAAACGATCATTATGTTGCAATTGAAATTATTAAGTAAATTCCCGTTTCCTGCATTTGACAAACTGAAATGTAATGGTACTGGGCACGGTCAATCAATAAATTAACAGAGTAATTACTAATTAGACATTACCAGGTATATCTAATAAATGTTTAAACAGAAAAAGGATTGAAAGTGTGTTTTTATCTTGGACATGAGTAGGTACTCTTAAAACAGTAAATATCACACACCAACCTCTAGATCTACACTTCCTTTAATTGTACAGTGGAACATTCGTCTATGCGCTTATAAACACTTTGCAAATTCATATTCTAGAGGGTGGTTCCAACAGCGCGCATGAGTATCAGCTTTATACCTATCTTTATTCATGGCACGGCGATGCCAAGATGAACAATAAACTTAGGGGGAAGTTACACTACTTCCCCAGATTTCCGTGTTAAATGATACGCCCACAAACAGAAGTAAAAAGTGCGCTTGCTAGGGAAGCAGTTCTGTCAAAAATTTGGCACCTGATTTTTAATTGTTAGAATGCTGCAGATATGCAAGTTAAATTAAAATCCAAGGCTAGATTTTTGAAGTACACAATATGTAATAAGATGTAATGTTATTACCAATAAGATTTGATTACTAATAAGGAGGCTTGCATTAGAGGTAGATTTATTAATAAACGAAAATACATAAACAATTTTATACTTACATAATAGATCATTTGCAATGGAAGGAGAACTACTTAATTTATTTTATACATTTGCACCATTAATACAAACAAAGTACAGAAAGTAACGATAAATATTAGGTTAGTTAATAGATAAGTTTGACGTCAATCTTAGAAATGTACAATAAGGATGACGAGAAACTTAATTTAAAGCATTTTTATTCACTAAAAAATGATTTTTAATCAAAACAACAATTTTAGATAAAAAACAATACTCTTCGAGAAATGATTTCTAACTTAAAAAACATTGCGACCCAAGTTACCCATTCTTTCACTAAAGGAACTTATCCTGTATAAAAAAATTGTTTAAAGGTACATTAGTCAGTCTAAAAATTTTCCACGTACGAATACGCAACTAAGTTCATATCATTATTTAAAAAGGACAATTCTTAGAAAACAATGTGCAACTCGGATAGGTAGCCGATGTAAATTGTTAATAAGGTTGTCAACATTGATAAATTCTGTGTGCATAACAAAAGGCAAATTTCTCAAATTTGCAACAAAAATAAAGAAGATCGATTTAAATTCTAAATAACTTGTTAGTAATAAATTTCTATATTAATTGCACTTACTTTTAGTTCCTTAATTAAGGCTCCTCCGCATTTTATACGACGGCTCGAGCCTAACATGGAAGAACTGTGACAACTGGCCATAAGCCAAGATAAAATGATTAAAAAAAAACACTAACTAAACAAAAAAATTATTACACAGCTATTGTCAACATTCTCGACTATTGCAAACTAAAGATATTAAATATCGAACAGACATATAAAATGTTTTTAACAAAGTCGACTTAATTGCTTATCGATTAAAATCACAACAAAAAATCAAAAAATTTACAATAGAGAATATAGAAAAACAAACAGCAAATAAAACTACATTTTGTGCTCTATGAAAACTTTTAGCTAACAACATGAGCTTTTCTCCGTTATTCCCCAACACCTACTTAAATATTTCAATGCGAAAAATATTAACTATGTTACAATTGTGCGTTTTTACGGCCGTTCATATAAATATATATATAACAATATTATTGTCTACCGTGTGCAGTCAATAAATTCTGGTTACTCTAATATTAAGTATTTAATAATGTAAATACTAGATATATAAATTTTTGTTTGTTATTAACAACTAAAACATAACTCTAAACTAGATATTTGCAAAACCCCTAAAGTTCTATCCAAACCAAATCTAAAGTAAAAATTTTTTTAAAGAAAAAAAATTAAATTTGTAAAATCCGTTAGTAATTTTGTGTTTGTTTGGATTAATCACTGCTATGCAGTTTCTGTTAATATTTTTTAACTAAATTACCTTTTTAAGGTCCTTTTTAACCAAACGGTTAATCACAAGTGATTAATGCCAACGTTAGCATATCAGTTGTACATATTGGTTGGTAGATACAGGGTGAGTTATTTATCACACATTTTCGTCGGCGCTTCGAACCTAATCGAGAAAAGCTACAGATAAATGAGTCACTCTGAATTGTATTCTATCACCGAAACGCTATATGGTTAAACCATCAGATAATTTGGTTTGTTCTATAAGTTGAGATTTTCTCTTAGTTTTGAACTACTACGCTAATCTTGTTGTACCTGCATGTCTGGAGTGTATACGTTTGATTCGAGCATGTTCTCCGGCGGGAGAAAAAATCCCATCGGAAAAACGCAATCTTTCGGCATGAAACAGTCGTGAACGGTTTTCATGTGGTTTTTCATTTTATCTGGCCTCGAAAACTCTTTTTGGCATACCGGACATGGAAATACTTTTCTTTGATGGCCCTCGTGATACAAGAAGGCGTGTCGTTGAAAGCTATACTTATTTTTAAATGTTTTTTGTACATCTACTTTTGCACATTCTGTACATTGATAAACGCCCTCGTTTATCGAGGCGTATCTAAATAAATTTAATCCTCTAACTGACATTTCCGTTAGCTGTTCGGCGGGATCCTGGCTTTGCGACGTCGCTCTACGCCGCGCCCTCCGTTTGACGGGTTGACGCACGGGCGGCGCACTCATGGCGGTCGTCGTTAACGTAGGTGTCACAGATGGCGTTGTATTGTTATTGTTATTATTGTTTATGTTATCGGGCGTAGTCGCGGGGGAATTGTTTTCGGTTATCTGAGTGTTCGGCTCCGTTTTCGGTACTAGCAGCTCCACCTTCGGCGTCAGCTTATCCGTGACGGAATCTAGAAAAATTACAGTTTATTGTTTGTCCAACACACCTTAGCGATAAGCTACTAGAAAATAATAATAAATAAATACGATTTTTGCAATATTCAAATGTGCATTCTGCAGTATAAAATAGTGGTACAGTCAACAACAAATCAACTTGCGAAACATGCGCAAACAAATGATTTCATACAAGCTAATACAAATAGTACAAATAAAAAATGTCCACGTCATATTTTATATCCAAAGAGGACGGACTTTGATGTTTGGCAGCTTTTAAAGCACACTGAAATTTGGTACATGACTCAGCCATGTAATATCACTAAATGAAATGAAAACCAGTTAGCTGTACTGGTTAGCAGCATTCCCATACTAGACAGTACACAGTATATTTATCTGCACACAAATAAAGAGTAATACAGGTACTTCTTACACTAGCTATCTGTTCTACATTGTGCTTGTAGGACCTTAGGAAAACTGTTAAATGTTAGAAGTTGATGAGCCAGTTAACTATTGGCGTGTAGTCCGCCGCTGTATAGTAAATGAGGATGGGATCAGCGCTAGTCACATACCTGTATATACACAATGTGCAATACCTAATGCAAAAATGAGCTTTTGAGTCAAAGTAAAAAATGTAGGGTCTGAAAAACCCCCGTTCCCCAAGGTTATGAGATTTTTAGAATGTTTGGTTTTTAACGGCCCCCAATATCTATGACTTTTCATACATTCTATAATCATCATAATTAAACAAGGAAATAAAATGAGAAGAAGAAATATAGGCAATACATGAGTTAGCTGCCATATAATTATTAATAATTCCTGTGTGTTACCTGTCTACATGTGTATTTTTTCCCTTTGGGATAGTACTCAACCAGTACTAGATAGTACTAATGTACTAGCAAAGAGTACTCTTTGGTACTGATGGAAAAATCAAATTTGATAATGATTTTGAAGGTTATGTGTTGCTATGAGAGTGATAGTAGTAACAGATGATACTTTTGTTTTTTCACTTTTGGTGTTTGATATATATCTTCCTCTCTTGCATCATTGCCATACACACTTACTCAGTCTAAAGCAGGGGTCGGCACCACTATAGTTTCAACGTGTCATTTTTTTAACCAATTAAAAAAAAACCTTTAAGCGTGTCAAATGAATGAATGAATTGTACCAAGCTCTAGATAGTACGAAGCTCTGGATAGGACACATAGGAAATTATTTTGTAAATTACAGTTGTAACTGGATAGGAGGGAGGGAATCAAAAATGCACAAAAATGCGACTAGAGTTAGAGATCGGCGCGTGTAAGTACGAAAGTAAGATGGGTACAGTATATTTCGCTCTGCTCCTCTGCGTGTTTTCTAAAATACTTTCACGTGTCACTTGTTGACACGCGTGTCATAATTTGCCGACCCCTGGTCTAAAGGCTCACTACACTCACATATGAAGTGCTGCATTAATTGACCTTTGAAAAAAGGCTCTTTCAGAAGACCTAAAATGTTTCAAGTTGGACATTCGCAACATACACACTGCACTTGCATTTGTAGAACTAAATTCTCTAAGTTGTGCATTCTATAATAGGCACATATCTACCTAATGCAAAACAAATAGGACAAGAGCGTTTACATAGCGCTGCCAATAATTATAAATAAAATAGTAATGGTACATGTATAAAACAAATTTATTAATGAAGATGATACTTAAACTTGCTACTTCAACAACAACGTAAATAAATACAAAAACAAAACAAATAATAAAATATTCAAATCTAAAATATTAAAATTACCTTCGATCCACATCTCCCGCCAAAGCTGCGATTAGTAAAAGAAAGTGGTAATAATGGTAGCCAAGAACAAGAGTTCAGTTTTATTAGATACTTACAAAATTTCAACTACATTGTAAAAACTTAGCTTACGCATTGGTATAAAACCGAACTGTCGACAATAGCGACAGTCCGCATTAAGAAATATTAGTTAAGAGCACTTTAAGGCAATTGTGCGCAACGAGCGAATCGGTCACATGTTACAATAGTCGTCAGAATCAATATCAATATTTTTTATATTTTATATTATCAAAATTTTTTTTAATAATATACAGTCTGTTTCAAATTAAGTTGCCAACTTTCTAATTTGCAGAGTTAAAAAGACTGTTAAATCATCAATATTTTGTATTTTTTTCTACTGAATAGAAATCTGTAATTAAAAAAACAAAACAACATAGCGTTTTTCTGATAATAACAAACAAGTGACTTTTTTATCTGGCTATATATAAACTAGGACTTTATGTGCGTTAACAAAACAAGAATAACAGGTGAAATTAAGAAATATATATAAAAATAACTTAAAAGTTCAAAAAGTTTCCATTTTCTTAAGTACAAGGCGAAAAAGTCATATTTTCTAGGAAAAAACAGTAGTATGTAATTAATTTCAAAGTTAGCAGTCATATGATAAAAACGTAAACTGGGTAAAAAACATAAACACACACAGGGTGTTCCATATAAAAAAGCTACATTTTTGTTATTATCTGAAAAATGTGATGTTGTTTTGTTTTTTAATTACAAATTTAGATTCAGTAGACAAAAATTCACAATTTTGGTAATTTAACCGTCTTTCCAACTCTACAATTATTGCCAATGGCAATAGGGCGGACTTCATTTGAAACAGAATAAACACTAAATTTTAGCTAGGTAACCTACTCCATTTTTGTAACATGTGACTATTCTTCATATATTTCCTCCTAAAATGACACTAAACCTACCTTGTACAAACACTAACAAATTTGATATAATTTATAACAACGAATAAAATTGCACAAAACTCTTCTAATTCCTAACAGCTACTACCGTAATAAAACATTTCAGGCATTCACCACAAATTAAGTGCCTCACTTACAGATATTGAGGTATAAAAATTTTCTTAAAAATATCCCATGCTTAAAACTATATTTGGCTTACTTTTAAAGTGTGACACCCTGTAGACAAATCGTCGAATCTGAATTGTAACGAATCAGTCTTATGGAAATAATTTGAACACTTTTCGGATTTAGTTAAAGCTACAAATTAAGGCACAGCGTTACCGGGTTTGTGAATTATCTTCAAATGCGCCAGCATGTTGTCTTTGCGCGTAAACTCGCGACAACAGACCGGACACATGAACATCTTCACGTCGACCTTGTGCGACGTCATGTAGTGCCTGCAGAAGTTGCTGATGTGCGTGTAGACACGGTCGCAGACGGTACAGCGATACAAATTATCCTTCTCTCTCACGCAAAAATCGCGCGCCGACTTGTCGGGGTCGTAAATTTTCCTCGAGCACTTCTCGAAGCGGTTCAATTTCGAGTAGCACATCTGATCGTGGAGGATAAACTCGTAATTCGAATCCTCGTCGAAATCGAAAATATCAGTTTTATTGTTACCGTTAACATTATTATCGACCTCACTAGTCGCGTCAAGCTTAAAATCTACAACTTCGTACGGCGAGTCTAGTTCTTCGTCGTCATCTGAAAGTGTGAGATCGGGATGATGCATGTGCAAGTCCTCCTGAGTTGATCCGTCGAAATCTTCGTGAGTATTCGTTGTATCCTTTTCATTGTCTGTAATTAGGACACAGGTTAGATGTACGAAAAAGACAGAGGGAAAAGCTATAGGGAATAAGCCGCGTTCAGTATGTACTAAGTTTTGTTAAAAAAAGTTCTCTGTGTGTGGCTCATTCCTTACACTCTTCCCTTTAATAAATACTTCATTTCACTCACCTCTTTGCATATGACACCGCACTACCGTAACACGGCACTATAGCTTTTCCCTTCACTAACATTTGTTTGGTGTTGATTCACAGAGAAAAGTAACTATATAACAGCTTTTCGTATTTGGAAAGGGGTAATATCATCATCTCTTAGTGGATCTGGTGCAACTGATTAGACAATTTAAGTGTTTTAGAGCACTCTTTTTTGGACCAAAATTTGGTATAGTTTTAAAGAACCAAGAGGTAGTAATAAATGTGATATTCTCTTGGGATTCTTCTGGCATTCTATGGCTAGTTTTATTTTAGGGTATTCCCTCAGTTCTGTAACTTTACGAGAATATCAAATAATATGTTATGTGCTCACTGAGAAAAATATTAAACAAGTGCTGGTTTTGTTCATTGCACCTGTCAAGTCTTTTTTACATATACTGTAGACGAGAATAAACAGAGCTGCACAAAAATACCATGGAAATTACAAACTAAATATGGGATTACCTAAAATAGAGCAACTGGTTCCTAATAATTTGAGTCTACAAACAAAACCAATGCCAGAATCCTTTACATTTAAGAAAGAAGAGGAAGGGACGCCCCCCTCCTGTCTCACTTCCCAGATCGCAACAAGCGAGTCTGAAAAGCTTCTACTGCTCTCTATATGTAAGGGCGCCTAACAGATTAACCGTCCGAATATAGTTACAATTTCGTACACCAACGAAGACGCATAGATGGCAATTAAAGTGAATAGGGATACAAAATGCGAGCAATATGTTTCTTTTTATACCCACATACAGTGTGTCCCTGATTATTTGGCTGTCTCTGGCAAGAAACGAAACATTTTCGAAAAATTAAGGGTGCTTTTCAAATTTTCAAAAAACGTTAAGATTTTTTTGTACTGTTCTGTCACATTTTTTCGAATTTCGTCAAAAAATACAGTTGAGAAATAAAAATACATATTAAAAAAACCAAAGTAGGCCTAGGTCTTTAAAAATTTTGCACATTTACTCAGTTTTTTACTCCAAACAACTTTTCTTAATTAAACAACATATGTTCTCGTTCCTAAAGGGCCGGGAGCGTTTTGAATAAGCAATAATAATATATGTAAAAATATGCTTAATAAAACCTTCAAAATGGCATTATTAATACATGGATTAGTATAGGTACATAAAGTAAAATGCAAGGATTTTTTTTTTACAACTACAATGCTGTTAATTTAAATCATTTGAAAAAATCATCTTTTGTTTTTCAACCACTCTGACCGTTTGGGTTAAACGCAACTTTGGATATGATAATATACATATCAAAAATGTGAACAAAATCGGATTAACCAAAACAGTCAAGAGTGGCCGAAAAACAAAGGAAAATTGTAGATTTTTTTCCTAAAGATTTAAATCCGACCCATTACTTTTGAAAAAAAATTGAAGCGCCGCTACGGCACCAGCCTTTTTCTATTTTAATAGCAACGCATAATTGCTATTAAATTATTCGAAAGGCTTTCTTTTTACATGTACAATCTACAAAAATTATACAGGGTTTTATTACCAAAAAACGGGAAAAAACAAAGATATTTTTTTGCAAAACGGTTACATATTTTGATTTCTTTAAAATTTTGGCAGTGTACAAAGTGGTTCAAATTCGTGAGTAACCATTGGGATGTCCATAATGGTGAGAGATACAGTGTAGCATTAAACGGGGGCAAAATTGCCTTGTGACTAAAAAAACGCGTTTAAAATTACATTGCAGATTCCCCCCCAATTTTAATATTTTTTGTTAACAAAACATAAATACCATGTTATAAGTGGTACTATTATTTCAAAATTGTCAAGTGGTCAACCCCTCGAATTATTTCCCTTTTATTTGTACAGGATGAATGAACGATTGCACGAGGTAACTTAATGCCTTCAACGATTTTTCATGCGTTTTTGTGTACCGATATGGTGGAAAATTCTCAACATTTTAAAAATATTTTGGATTATACAGGGTGCGCTCACAAAGTAGGGGGGCAAAAAGGTCCTTTTTTTTGTATTTGAATGCATTTTTTAATTCCACGTGTAATTGTACAAGTTTTTTTTATAGTGCAACTTCTTTAGTCCGGACACATGCTAATCTGGACATCCAGTAACCCGGACGGCCTGTCACAAAGATAGTCCGGGCGCTCCTCTATAATCCAGACGCGCTGCATGTGTATTTTATTTATGTAGATTAATGTTTAATTATACATATGTTAAATTCATGAGAATTTATGCTGTTTTTGAATAAAAAAATTATTTGAACCAAAATAAACATGTCGTAGTTGTTAACGTACATTCACACACACTATTATCCTAGAATTCAATAACGTTTCGTATCAAAAAATATATTGGTTTTCTTGGTTTTTATATTGTAAAAAATAAAAAATATATACAGAGTGTTCCATTTAAAAAAGTGAAATTTTTTAATATGAAGTTTTGTAACTTTGCATCTACAAAGAAAGCCTATAAATCGAATTATCTTTAAAACTACCTAGAATTAAAAAATGCAGTTAAATACAGGGGGTTCCATTAAAAAAATGTATTTTTGTGGAGAATATTCACTACTTAATCATCTTCTCATATTTTCATATTCCACATCCTTTAATGAAAACCTTTTATACTAAAATTGTATTGCCCACGAATATAATATACGATTCAGTGTAAAAGTCAGAACTCATGTTGGTAACACTACCAACTTAAAAAATTACGCTCCTCTAAAATCACACTAGGACATGAGAATCTTGTCTTTTCAACCTTCTTTCAAATTTTATCTCGAAATTAGAAAATTACAGAATCTCTTACCTGAGGACGTAAATTCTTCGGAGTTCTTCGTAACAGCATTATTGAAGATCGGCTCCTTCGACGTACCAGGTACAGGTTCAGACTTAATCTTAACATCGCCATCAGTATCTCTATCTTCCGGTTTGCCACTACTCGAATCCGAGTTGTTGCCCGTGAAGCCGTCCATGCCCATCTTGACCTCCAACATCTCCGGACTGCCCTGAATTAAAGAGTCGGACCGATCGTAGTCGTCGACGCCGTTCGAACTGCCCGATAACTTCCTCGGCCGGCCCCGTTTCCTCTTTGGTTGTAGTAACGCGTTCCCGAGCATATTTAAGGTGGCGCCGAATCGCTTTTGCGGCTGTAACCTTTGCAGGTGGGGGAGGGGGTTATTGTTTATTTGGTTGTGCTGCTGCTGCTGCATTAGGGATGAAGTAATAGTATCACATTTTTCTTCGTTCACTTCCGTCAATCCTTTTATCCGTAAACTTTCGGCGACTCTCAGAAAGGCGGTTAATCGTTCCTGGTCGACGCTCACCTCCCCTCTGTACATGAAATCGAGCAGACTTCGCATATCGTTATACGGAACGTCTTTTAGAATGACAATCGGATGCTTATCGGGGTGATTGACGAATAATGCCTGAAAGTACGGACTACACGCCGACAAGACCATTTTGTGAGCGCGCAATAACTGTCCCTCGACTGCTAACGTAACGTCTACGAAACTTTCGTCGTGAAGTAACTGATCGAATACTGATAGTAAATTTGACTGATGGTTGTTCCATCGTAAACAAAAACGTTGGGAAGACATAGTTGAAGCTTGATGGGGTCCGTTCCCTGATGATTTGAACTGCGATGTGTATGGATATCGAAAGTTTAACGTTGTCATTGGTGGCAATGGCGCTATTTTGAAGAGATGTGCTTATTAGCGCTACACTGTAAATACAAACAGACAATTAGTGTTTGGCCAACATGCAATGATAACAGCAAAAAATGTGATGACTTACCAAAAAATACTTATTTCTACATTATTGTTTAATATACTTTGTTATTTTTCAATAAGTGGCCTTGACACAGTACTATATTCTAGGCCTATGAGATACGTTTGGTAAAGCCAAATCGGGCAATTGACTAAAAATAAAATTCCACGACCTGTCAATGTGTAGAAACAAAGTGGTAATTAATTAAAGCCCTTAGGCATAAGCTTAGATACCACAACCATATTACATTCTCCCTCATCAGCGTAGGTCACTACAAAATCAGCGGAAAAAATTGGAAAATACTCCAACCTCTATGTCCACTTCTAGGGGCAGCACCGTAGCTAACACAGCTAGAAAGCGCTTCAGACAATTTGAGCTTTCTAGGGATCAAGAGAGTCTCTTGTGTTTTCCACACATCTTGGACACAGTGTATAATACGTTTTGGCAAAAATTATTAGTTCCCGATCCAAATCCGCTTTTTTTATGTAGGTAAACTGATTCCACATCGGGGAAAAATAGTTAAAACAGTCGAATTTCCTGGGGAGAAATGTCGGGGGTTGAGAGGGGTGAAAAGTGATGGCAATTTAGGGCAAAACTATTAATTTTAGCCGAAAATGTTTTAAGTAAAAGTTGTATCTAAATTTTTCAAATTTTCTATTCTTCTATTTTTATTTTTGCGAAAAAAATCGGGGTTGGAAGCCCCCCCCCCCCTCCTTCCAACCTCTCTCTGAAACTTCGAGGAACGTAACTTTTTGTATGAAAAAAAGACAATTTTTTGAGCCCGCAAAGTTAAACCGGGGGCGGAGCGGTTTGCAAAACAGTAGAAAATCACGAAGAAAGGTCCCCACTTTGGTTCTCCCAAAAATAATTGATAACAATGTCTCTAGAGGGTTTTTCTCGAGGTTATTCTAGTTTTCAAATATTGTTTTTAAGAGTGCTAAAAAACGAAAAGTACCCCTCCAATCAAGTCAAAAATTGAGCTCCACTATTACACAATACGAGTTACAAGAATTAGAGTTGCCATTTTTACAGTTTTACATTTACCTGTAATGAGATGAGCCCACGAGTTTTAATAAGGAAATTAAAGGTTGGGCGTTTTTCTATTAGCACTACACTAAAATCGGCAAATCCTGCATGAGATCAAGTTATCTATTTTAGAGCTAGGTCGAAAGCATGCGTCGGCAATTTTGCCTTGCCTGCCAATACTCTTTGAAATGGAGAACCCTAGTGGAAATTTACGGTCTATTTTTCCCCAAGAAGACAGAAATTTTGTTTTGAATGTCATAGCTCGTGTCATAGCTACATGAATCATTTTAATGTATGGAATTTTGCAGAAAAAGGCACCCACTACTGTCTTAATTGTTATTGTTGTTCGAGGTCCACTGAAGATGCCACCTGCACAATTAAGTGCACCATGTGTCCTATTTTGGTTGAGACTACAGTGTCCCCAGCTGTTTGCGGTTTTCGCGACCCGGTGCCACTTTTTATTGTAACTTTTAATACCACAAGCAGAATCAATCTAGCTCGTTTGTTTCTGAAATACAGGGTGTAAACGAAAAATGTTCATTTCATACTACCTATCGAAGACAGTAAAAACGTAAAATCCAGTGGCGTAATCAAAGAAATGCGTGGACCACATTTCCTGAGATTTGACCCAAAGTTGGTATTTTTTAATGCAACACTGTGTATATTTTTACGTCAATTTTTTGCATGCTTTTCTCAGGAATTTGATGTAGGTAAAAATGTACTTAAAATTCTTTTCAGGCCAAGTAGGTCGGGATCCCCAAACATCAAAACCAGATTCAATTACACGTATAATCACGCGTATAGTGAAGTCTATCCGAGGACACACTGTATATCACATTTTTCAAATTTTTGAAATGTCTGTCAGTCATTTTTATTGATGGGTATCGTCTGCCGTTGTTACAATGGATACAATAAACAAAACAAAATCATCATAAATCCATGGCCTACTACTTTTTAAAAACCGTAAAAAATAAGCTCGGAAATAAGGTCTTTATTTTTAGTTCAAGGCTAGAATGCAAAGATATATAGAAGATATATGTACAGGGTGTTGCATTTTAAACATACCTATCTCAGAAACGGTAGCAAACTCAAAAATGTTAAATGCGCCATGTTGGATTTTCACATAGGTAATTCAAGATAGTTTTTATCTTGGTTTTTATTCTCTTTTCAATCAAAGATTAAGACATTATATGATTGGGCAAAGGATACTAGTAAAATTAATTATTCTTACAATTTAATCAAGTAGGCAGACTTTTTGACCATTTCAAAAGTCCATATTTCCCTAACTAATAAAAAAAGCAGTATTTAAATTTTAGATGGTTAAAAAGTAATTTTGATTCTTTGGTTAACGATCGCCTAGAGCAATTAATTATTAAAATGGCAAAAAACTTGATTACCATGCGAGTTAACATGTAAAAATATTAATTTTACTAGTATTCTTTATTCAATCATAAACATATCTTACATCGTTGAAAAGTGAATAAAAAATTTTCCTTGATAATGAAAATCTGATACGCCACCAAACTAAGAAAAGAAAGTTGGCATTTATATTTCAGCAATCTGGGATTCCATTTTCCTATCCGAGAGAGAATCTGTTTTCTGTTAACTTTTACAATTATGGAATGAGTATGTTTAATCTAATCTCTACCTTCAATAATAACAAAGTTATCCATGCAACCCCACTGCATTTGAGACACCCTGTATCGTTAGCTACTAGAAGTAACTAACAGCTAAAATATGAAGGGAAAAAATATTGGCATTTCAAAGGAATTTTTCAGTAGTGACTGATTCAAAGAAGAAATTTGTAATTTTCATAATTTGGACTTTCAAGAGCAATGGGTTATCTTGTTGGGTTAGGTGCCGCTTTTCCTTACTGACATTTGTTTAGACCTTTGAATTGCAAATATTTCAGAATATCAAATTCGACCAAAATAAGAAACAAAAATGTTTATATTTGGAATTACGTTTCTAACGTAGTGAAACCCTCAGTAATGATTTGGAAAAGTAGAGGCAAAAAAGTGCGTGCGTTACCTGCAAGGGGCTGCAAAAAAAAGACAATCATCCTGCAACTTTAACCACCATTTAAAGGATAAGTAGTCTTCGGAAAATTGCCAATAGTTTGATATTGTACCTATATATTCAAGACAGAATATGGCAAAACTTAAGAAAAATAACAAAAATAGTTTATTGAAAGAAAATATCACAAAACTAATCAAAATACAAGTGTGGTAAAAGTATATGGTCGATTGTACGCCACTGACATGTGACAACCAAAATCGACCACGCTGTAGATTGGAATTTCAGCCGATTTTCGCCCCATTAAGTAGGTATTTGGCCATCAATTAGAATTAGTAATGTTCATTTGGATGAGGTTTGTTAAGATGTTATGTTAATTGCATTCAATTAATAGGTAGGCGAATTTTTCCCAGGGCCGTGCCCTACCTAGTCCATTACCATAATTCGCAGGGCCACGATTGCGATCGTCGAGCAGGAAGCTAAGGCCATCGTCACACAATAATTAACGAAATAGTTTAAATCGATAAATAAAAACAAATGGAAAACGTGTTGAATCACACAGGTGTCAAGTCATACAAATTGGAGCGAGCAAATTTACCTGCGGTATTTAATGCGAGCCAAAAGTTTAGATAAAGACGGAGATAATAACAAACCGTAATTTGTTGTTGTTTAAATAAAATTTGCGTTTTCCAAGTCAACCCCTTTCGCGTACGAAATGAGCACAGCCCTCCGCCATTTTAAAGCGAAGTTATCGCTAGTCCACACAACACCCCGCCTACTGTGTGATATCATGAAGTCGCAGTTTACGCAACCCTTTCATGGCACGTTAGGTGAACTAAAAATGCGAACGAACGAATTTTAAGCGGGTTTTAGGCTGGGTCGTCATTTGCAAAAACTGCGGGCAGAACGATGGGGGTTTCAGTATTGATTTATAGAAATATATTGATTTAAACGCGAGGGGTAAAAAAGGCGGTCTACTTTCTGCATTAATTGCAAACCCGAACGCGTGCTTATTACTAAAATTAATGTAAATGTCTAACCTATTTTAAGACGTTGCCACTTATCCAAAAGGGTTGAATCCTTGCACAGGACAATTTTACACCACTACACTCAACGCGCCATGTCAGCAATCTACCATCTCTAACCCGCTTCGGATTTATTCGGGGTAGTTCGGGGTTGCTAAAGTATGGGCGCCGAGATTTAAATTGTAAGAATCCCCAGGATCGCCTTTAAACAGGCCGTGTTTGTATAAATTGATAACTGATAAGAGGATAACAATAAAGAAATAGCGCGCATGTTTCTCGCCGTCCCTTCTTTGCACGGATATGTAATAAAAGCTCCGTTATATCAACATTTTTCCCCCGGCCCAGCGCTGCCCTCGAATACAAGACGATTTAAAATAAATTAGGTGTAAAATTTAATTAACGCGGACATGCCAAGGTTTTTTACGACATATGTAACACAGATCGCCTTAAAATTTTAAACATAGATCTTATGTCATGCGCCATATAAAAGAGGGTGTGCGCAAAACGCTAATAAAGTTAAATACTTACGCAATAAGTTGTCCTTGTAATCCACGAGTAAACTACTTATACCCGTTAACTCACATTTGTCCTCTTCTCGGACACCCACTAATCACCACCACTAACCAGGAAGTGAATCTTGTAACAACATATCCCCGTTTAAAGGGGTTCCTTCGACTGAGGGAGAAAAGTAAGTGGTGCGCACCCTTCGAGTAACTAAATCCAACTCGATCCCCGCGCAACTCGGACTCGTAATACCACCACTACGACTATAATGACCTTGAGCATTGTGGATGTCTAGAAGACCAACCATTTACTCGACCTAACTCAGACAACGGGGCTAATTTAAGATCGGTCTGGTTAGCTGGAACGAGCTCTCACATTGAGGGCTCAAACAGCGGTCCAGTTAAATCGAGATGGGTGTGTTTGTGATTTGAATTTGATCATCGAACAGGTCCGTTGCATTGAACGGGGATTCGACACGTGCAAGTTTAACGTGGGGTGGTTGACCCCCCTTAAAAAGAGCACGACTTTTTGACTTCTTGTAACACTTTTTAAAGGAATCCTACCCGTATAGCGAGCGTGATATATTTATTGTATAGGGGTGTTGGCCTGCCCAATGATTAGAAAGCAAACAAAAATAGGGTAAATCATTAGCGTTAATTATTGAATATATTTAAAAGACAATTAAGAAAATTACCCGGCGATTAAATAAGAAACTAAGCAACGACGCGCTTCGCCTTTAATCGCTGATAATGAATACTAATTAAACATGTGCGCCTTGATTTTTTTGTTGTCAATCGCAAACCCCCATTGACGAACGCGCCAACTTGATCGTGCGCAACAGGTAGCGTATGATTCAAAATGTTTTCATTAGGTATTGCTCGTCACGCTTTGTCTTCGGCTTCTTTTTACGCGAGGCACCGACCTACCTCCTCTGTCTATTTCTTATTTCATCAGATACCGTAAAAGATACTTTCCGCCGTGTCAGCAAAGCTCGAATTCTCACAGTATAGCACTATCACGTCAAGTTGATGACCATCCAATCATATCATGTATTTAGACTTGGCAACGCAATAGGTCACGTTAGATCTTGGTTAATCAACCCATTGAACTCAAAAAATCCAAGCAGGCTAAGCTATACATTTTCAAAAAAACAAATTGGTTGATGGTGTTTTTAAGGATCAATCGAGTTTCTCGCTAGGGTGGAGTGATCAAAAATGAGTTGCTGACGAGTCACATTTGGAATTTTTGTTTCCATGGGAAATCGTACCAAAGACTATATCCCTTTGATCGTACTTAACTTGCACTTCCAAAGGCGACTCGACAGCAACTCATTTAATTTTTGATCGCCCGCCACAAGATTGGTTACCTACGGACTCATACGGAGATTGGTACTCTGGTGCCCACTCTGAGTAGGACATTTGTATAGATAGTGAAAAGGGGCGAAAATCGTATTATGGCCATTTTCACGCAATTTTGATTTTTTCGTCACTCTTTCCCCAAAATAACAGAGAAAAATTGCGGAAAACCTTTTTTTCCGTTTTTTATTTTTCATTTCCACAAAAATGATTTTATTTTAACGAGGCTTGAGGAAAGTACTTACACTTTTTTCAGTTTCAAATAACTACAAATTTTTTTACTTATAATTGCACAAGAGGTTTGTATTTTACCGAGTAAATTTGGGTTGTTAAGGTAATGAAAATCTGTTGCCTAGCAATTAGAAAAACTGTCAACTAATAAAAATGCGACACCGAAGATGGAGCATTTTTAGGTTTTAGATTTGAAAATATCTAGGACCTCGTTTACATTCAAGTTTAAGAGCACTTTCAGTCTTCTAAAGTGTTGTAGACCCTGTAAAATAGTTCGAAGCTAAGGTCCTGATTTATTAGGCATTAACAGTGTTAAAGGTTCTCCTAGTTTTGTCTAGTCTTCTAGAGTCCTTAATAGCAAGAATAATCTTTTCACAGTGCCCTAATGAGAGATGAGCAATGTGTGCACCTTGCACAGGGCGTAATTCTATTGGGGACATAGAAATATCAGATCTTTCAAATAAGTACCTATACTTATAGAATTAATGAAATTATAGCAATTAAGTTTTAAAGGAGCGGATTTTGGTGGTGAAATACCTATACCCTATACGCAAATACGTCATGTGTTATGTTAAGGGTAATCCAGATCCTTCATACAAGGCCGGCAGTGACATCAAAACAGCATTTCTTTATAGAGAAGTCGTCAAGTAGACAGAGAAATTTACAGAAGCTTTCCGAATGAAGAACATAATCTGCAAAATTAATAAAGTATTATATAGATTAAAGCAAGCAACACTACAATAAAACAAGCACTTCAAAAATTTGATAAGAAGACAAGGGCAAAGCCAATGAAAATCAGATATTTATATATCCAAAATTCAATTATTTTAGTAGGGTATATACATCGCTTTACTTTTCCAAACAGACTCAGATATCAAAACAGATTTGCAAAATTCCCAACCGTTTTTGTACAAATGGGTTGTGCACAAATAAATGCAAAAATCCGCTGAAGAACTTAATGGGTAGGTACCTACTGCTCCCCACATTCAAAAATATGTACAGCGTTGGTTAGACTACAATACAAAGTATGGTCTAAGAATCAGCATGTAGGTACGATTTGAATAATTATTAAATTGTGATTGACTGTAATTTTTCGTCGCTCATTTACGTTCCTCTCCCCAGGACGAAAGAAGACATTTTAATCCCGCCAATAAATAACGAAATAGTTCTTTAGTGCACGGAGCACGTGTATACACCATAGGACTAAAGTGCATCCTAATCCTTCGACAAACTTTGTTTCTAGCACAACTGCACCCTCGGGGTTAAAACGCGCACTTTAGTGTATACTGTTAAGTGTTAGGTAGGTACACTGTTTTGGCTCTACAGTAAATCTCTAAACCTATAGAGCAGTATTTCCCAACGCCATAAGGCCCCCTATGACGTATTTATTGGGGACCACAAACGAGAGACAGAATATTGGTAGGCCACGGAAACTTTTCTAGTGGGCCACAATATCTTACTGAAATATTAAAATGAAATAAATATACCAAAATTGGTCAGTACAAAAATTATACCACAATAACCCCTTATCCTTGTTTGTGTTAACTGAGAGTACCTTTCCTAGAAAGCAATAAATCCTAATCACAACTTTACATTTAAATGTTTATAAATAGCAAACGCAGAATCAAATTGATAGACGCGATATTATTTTTCTGTAGAGATTAGTTTTTCTACACTTTCAAAGAGGCATTTTTAAAAAAAATTTCGGCGTCAAAACAAAATGAGCTTGAAAATGGTTTCTTGATAACTAAAAAATAACTCAAATTAATTTTGATCTAATCTCTGTTAAAATATTGAAATGCCACATTTAATGGCCTATACATGTATACCTACATTTTTGTGCAGTCTGAGAAAGACGTAAATGAGTCTAAAAAACACGTATAAAGCTACTAAAATTTCAAAAAATTCTCGGGATATGACCCCCCCCTTCAGGGGGTATTCCATACCCCGTGTGTAACGCGGTGGGGGGCCACAGAGATAAATAATATTCACAAGTAGGCCACCAGTAAAAAAAGGTTGAGAAACACTGCAGAGCATATAGGATGTAATGTAATGATTAGGGGTAAGTGTGAAAAATTTACCTCCGGAATGTTCGCACCATGAGAATTCCGACCTCTTTAAAATTCTACCCGGAAAGAATTTCATGCAGGATAATTCGATTCAGTAAACGCGCTTGTAGGCGATACCCAAAGTTACATTTTTCAGACCCAAAAAAAAACACTTGTTGGAGATTTTTAAAAGGGTCAATTTGTCACAGAAGAGGCTACTATCATAATTTCAAAATGAATCAAACAAAACTGGCTACGAATCTACGATTTAAGATTATAATTTTCATAGTAAATTTTTTTAATGCCGGATATTTCAGGGACGGATTTTTTGGTGCGAGTTAACCGGAGCGAGTTTTGTTACAAGTAATTCTTTGAAGCGAGTCTTCCGCGTAGGGAGGCATATATTATTTTAGAGGTGGATTTTTGGAAGCAAATTTACGTGGGGGCGAGTTTTCTGAATAGGGATCGAAGTCAATGACAGAAACACAAATCCCTGGCTACTATACCTCGAAAACATAGGGTCCAGCCGCCAACGGGGGTAATCATGTAAAGAAAATAGCAGACGTGGAGGAGACATGTTTGTCACTTGTGCCCTTCAAGAAAAAAAAATCAAAAATTACCTCATTGAAAATGCGTTCTATTTTATTGATGAATTCGTCCGTGAGTGCAAATCTATTTAACAAATTTGTTTATGTTTTTGTGATTTTTTGTCTTTTTAATGTAATGTCGTTTTATATGTACCTACATTTATATTTTTATATCTGTAATTCTAATTGGCATGTTTCTATATACCTACTTATTATAGGTATTATTTTTATTAATTGTTGACGAGTGTATGTGCACAGACACGTTCCACACAATAAAGATCTATCTATCTAATACAGGATTTAAACAAGTATTAAGGTCTCCTGGTCTACGGATCCGTGCGAATGATTTCTGCTCATACTTTGGTAAAAGTAGTTGCAAATGTTCACAAGTGACAAGAAACAAGCGAATGCAAAAAACCGCAAAAATCATAACAAATGTACTAAACTAAAAGCGCAAGTTTCTAAGGAAATTGGCCTCTCCCCCTTTCCCAATTGGAAAATTCATCAAGAAAATGCACTGAAAATGCAATATTATAATATATTATAATATATTAGTAAATTAGGTAGTTTACCTCCTGGTTTACCTAGTATTTATGCTTCGCAGACATTTTATAAACTCAACCCACGTACATACATTTCATAAGTAACAAATTTTGAATTATTGTAGTAGAAATTAATTTGATCACACATTAAATAAAATAAACTATAATGTAATGTAGAGAGTCATACGCACCCGTGTGCTTGCATTCGGTTTCACTGTCCTTCGATCCAAAAGAACCATGTAATATTTTGAAACACTAAGAAAATACATAATCTGATGCATAAAATCGCATCCTTTCTACGTTATTAAGGAGTTTAGTTTTGTAATGATGTACAAAAAATAATTTTGTTTTTTACATTAGATGCCGAAAAAATTAACTTTGGATATTTAAAATACCGTAATGCTGCATTAACAAGTCTGATCTTTGATTTGTGTGTGTGTGTGGGGGGGGGGGGGCTAAAAACAAATTATTTTTGCATTATAAATATTTTACTAAAATTAAATTAAGAATCTTCAAACAGAAAATTCGCGAAATATAGTTCACCCTTCAAGATTATCGCTAGGTTATAAGTACCCCAGTATGCCTAAGGGACCCAGATCTTAGTCAAATAACAACTTATGCTTTGGGGGTAGCAAGAATTTATAACACTACGACGGCTGTCCAATTCATCTGAATGAAAAGCGTCCATTTAGGGTTTAAAGCAAGTGTAGTTATATGAGAAGATCGCAATACACAAAAGTATAGGCGTGTGTGGTTATTTTCACTTCCCTGTTGATTGTGTTATTTTTATGCCACATTTTGTTGTCTACTAGATAGAATAGCTACACAGAATACTCAAAATGAAGCTGTTTTCGACTATTTTTTTACTAATTTTATTGTGCTTCGAATCCAATACAAAAAGAGTAGAGTTGGATGATGTGGAAAAATCGTTTACACTCTGTCT